CACTCACCAGTTCTCATCTTCCCACTCCCCAGCTACTCTGCGTACTAAAGTTGTATTACCAAGTCGCCACTTCTCATCTTCCAGCTCCACAGCTACTCCGCGTACTAAAGTTGTACTACGCAGTCGCCAGTTCTCAGCTTCCAGCTCCACAACTGGCGACTTGGCAGTGCAACTTTAGTACGCAGAGTAGCTGGGGAGTGGGAAGATGAGTGGTGAGTGGGCAGTAGCTGCGAAGTGGCGACTTTGCAGCACAAGTGTAGTGCGCGGAGTAGTGGGGGAGCTGGAAGATGAGAAGTGGCGACTTGGTAGTACAACTTTAGTACGCAGAGTAGCTGGGGAGTGGGAAGATGAGAACTGGTGAGTGGGTAGTAGCTGAGAACTGGCGACTTTGTAGTACAACTTTAGTAGTGCGCGGAGTAGCGGGGGAGCTGGAAGATGAGAAGTGGCGACTTGGTATTACAACAGTAGTACGCAGAGTAGCTGGGGAGTGGGAAGATGAGAACTGGTGAGTGGGTAGTAGCTGAGAACTGGCGACTTTGTAGTACAACCTTAGTATGCGGAAACACAACAAGTACTAGACATAGTGTCGGGGAGTCTCTTCCATATACAAGGGCTAGTCGCGAGCTGAACGGCCAGAGCACACTAAAACATGCGCAGTGCCTGCTGTGTGTCACCTCGCGCTACTTTGTTGCATGTTTCTGTAGGAGAGGCGATTGGAAAATGAGCAGCATAGTGGTTCTTAACTACATCTAGAGCGAAGCACATGTCACCCTCAGAGCGCCTGCGCCAACAGACTGTGCATTTTCCGTGGCTGACCTTTCGGTGCTCACAGTGACATTGCAGAAGTCTCCATACAACTTGGGCCAACTACCACAATATCAACTCAACAGCAATGAAGAATATACTTGCAAGGAGTTTGAACGCGCCCCACAAGCTTTTGCAATATTCATTTCTCACATAAACCTTTACAAGGCAAACCGAGCCTTCTTATGGCTATGCATGTGCTATTTACCAATTTACAGCCCTCTAGCTCGTAGGTCTCCCTCTTTGCCCACCCATCATGCCAGGGAACCTTGGCATTGTTGAGGATCACTTCTTCAGCGTCACCCATGATGACCAGAGACAGGTGTGTCTCTGTTGGTCCTATGGAAACAGGATATACCATGACAACCAGCCAGAGCTCATCCATGCAAGATGGCCAAACCAGTCCATAGCAAACAGACACTGGGTTGCCCATGGAGAAACCTTGCAGTTTTGGCGAGTGGTCCAGTGGTCCAGTGGATGGCACGACTGGGTGAGGAACAACAGCCGCAACTTCACAGATGCCTACACCATCCAGATCTGCTTCGGGCGGACGCGCTAGACCCAACCAACTGTGTGTCTCATACCGTGACTTCTTCCTGATAAATTCTGTGTGGACGTCGTTCTGCGGAAGCACAACACTATCCTTGCTGTGTACAAAGACTAGTCGCGAGCAGAACAGCGAGAGTGCGCTAAAACATCTACAGTGCCTGCTGTGTGTCACCTCACGCTACTTTGTCGCGTTTTTCTCTGAGACAGTCAATTACTCAATGACAAGCATAGTCGTTGGTTAACTACATCCTAGGAAAGCTGTGTCCTGGAGTGAAGTAAACGTTTTTGCCCGGAAGATATATATCGATGGATGCCTTTCCTCTGACAGGTCACTGCTTCGAGACGCTTCTGGCGTGGCTGCCTCAGCATTTTCTGTGTTCATTCCAGCTCGGTTTTTAACCTCGTGCTCCTTTGTTGCATGTTTCTGTAGGAGAGGCGATTAGAAAATGAACAGCATAGTGGTTCTTAACTACATCTAGAGCGAAGCACATGTAACCCTCAGAGCGCCTGCACCAACAGACTGTGTATTTTCCGTGGCTGACCTGTCGGTGCTGACAGTGACATTGCAGAAGTCTCCATACAACTTGAGCCAACTACCAAAATATCTACTCAACAGCAGTGACGCATATACTTGGAAGAAGTTTCACGCACCCCACAAGCTTTTGCAATATTCATATCGCACATGAACCTTTACGACGCAAACAGAGCCTTCTTATGGCTATGCGTGCGCTATTTACTACTTTGCAGCCCACTAGCTCGTAGGTCTTCCTCTTTGCCCAGCCATCATGCCAGGGAACCTTGGCATTGTTGACGACCACTTCTTCAGCGTCAACCAGGATGACCAGAGGCAGATGATTCACACGTTATTGTTCAGTCTGCAGTGCAGCATGTGGTTTGAAGGCTTCGCAGATCCGTTCATTCGTGACTTTGGTTTCACTTGTCATCAAGTTGCAGTCCCTCACCTGCTTTGGCAGCTTCCGCTCCTTCCCCTTAGTGTCGTCTTCAGTTTTCTTTACGTGCATTGGGGATTAGTGCCTTGGGTGCACACGTGAAACGTGAGGAAGATCCTACACCTGAGACTCAGGTCCATGCTGATGCATGGATACCAATGCAATTGGCAGAAAGCCTCTGACTGGAGTTCCTCTGACAGGTCACTGCTTCGAGACGCTTCTGGCGTGGCTGCCTCAGCATTTTCTGCGTTCATTCCAGCTCGGTTTTTCCCGTGAGATTCCCTGCAGCCGTGCACGCTGCTTCTCCCTTACCAGCAGCTCACACGCTCATGACGATGAGCTGGGCTGTCACCGCTTGGCCGCCGGTGGGGG